TGGGCCCCGCCCTACCTCTCACCGCCCTCCTCAGGCCCCGCCCCCTCCCGCTAAGCACCTGGGCCCCGCCCTACCTCTCACCGCCCTGCTTAGGTCCCGCCTTCCTTTCCTCCGCTACTCAGCTTAGCCCGCCCCACCTCTCACCACTCTCCTCGGGCCCCACCCCCTCCAGCCCACTTCCTCTGCTCAGGGCTGTCCCGACCAGAACATCGCCCCTTCTGGAGGCCACGCCCCGCCCTTTCCGGTACACAACCCGGAAGCGTTTTTGGACGTTCTGCCTTCCATCTTCCGGTCTCCGAAGGAGCTCAGGCTCGTTTTGCTTTGGGAGTCCATTTGAAAGGCGACACTACGTCAGCGCGTCTCGACGTGAGAAGGAGTATTCCGGCGGTGCTGCAATAGCTTCCGGCGGAGCTTGGATGTTGATGTCCTGCCTCTAAAGCTCAGCGAGGTCCGGAGGTGTCCGGAGGAATTCTTGTGTTTGTTGCGGTAACCTCATCAGTCTGCCAAGATGGCGATGCAAGCTGCCAAGAGGGCGAACGTGAGTATCGGGGTCTTCTGCGAAGGAAGGGGAGGGCTTCGCTGCTTCACTTTGTGAGCGGCGTGGGTCGGGGCATTCTTGCCCTTCCTCCGCCCCCAGGGCAGAGGAATCCCAGAATTCGTATCCCGTCAGCGAGGATATTATCCTGGCCCCATCTTCGGGGGTGCGCTCCTAGAGCGGCATTTCTGCCTCCTCCCCTTTTGAGGAGTCCTTCAGTCTCTATCCTAGTGTCCGTGGTAGTGTTAGCCCTACAGCCTCTGTTGCTTGATATACACCTAGGACCTGGTTAGAATCTTCTCTTCGTCTTAAAAGTAGTTAACTCAGACGAGTCCTCAATAAATAGCTTATTGGTTCACCAGCAACTAGAGCTCGGGATTTAAAAGGTCATGGAGATTTTGGGATCTTTTATTAATGTAGTAATTCAAACAGTATTTTGGGGCGGGAGGGCACCTGTTATGTGCCTGGCTTGCAAGATGGGAAACAGTTCATCACTTTTATTTATTGAACAGCTAATATGTGCCACTAGTCTTAGGTATTGGAGATACAGCAGTGAATGAAAGAAAGTCCTGCTTACATTCTCGTGTTTGAAATTGGAGTGGAAACGTATAAATTAAAGTCCCAAGAAACAGTAGTCAACAGTGAGATGCTTAGAGGTATAATAAAGTGAAGACATTATTGACTGTGTTGAGGTGGAGACTTTTGATGACCTTAATGATAGGAATCATTTCAGTGGATGAAAACTTGGTTGCAGTGGGATGAAGAGATGGTGGGAGTTAAGAAAATGGAGACACCTAAGACAGCTCTTTCCATGAGTTTTTGTGTAAATAAGAAGTGGAGAAATAGGATGACTTGTAAACGGTAGGTGATATAAAGTGTATTATGCCAGTGGAAATGATGCAGTAGAGTGGGAGAAACATGATCTGGAAGAAGGATAGGTTAAGTTCAAGAGTGAAAGTTTAAGTAGGTGAAGAGGCGCCATAGTAATAGAGGGAAAGTGGGTGGATATAGGTGAATGTAGTTGGTAGGTTTCGTGATAGAAAGATAAAGCACTTAATATTTGTTCTTATCTATTTTCTCCAAGAATTAAGAGCCAGGGTTATCTCCTGGGATGGACAGGGAAGAGGATACAGCCCAACTCAGATGTTGGAGGACGAGGTGGTCGTAAGGTTTGAGGAGAGAAGAGAAAATTTGATACAGTGTTTTGCAGAGTGAAAAAGCAAAATTACTAGAGAAGTGTATTATGATTGACAATATTGGTCGTCTATTTTAATTTAACCTTGAATCTTGAAATCTAAACTTTATTGTAATGATTTATTTACCGTTTATCGCCACTAGTTTGAGGGCAAGGAGTATCTTATTCCTCCATTTATACAACTGACAACTATGACAGAAATAGTTGTCAGTTTCATAAATAGTAATTGAGCAAATGTATGTCTAGCATGTAATCAAAAGTGTTAACAAGAAGCCATAGAAGTGAAATCTGGATAGGTGATATATATTTGAGAGTCATCAAAGAGAACGGAAAGAGTCAAGGAAGTATACAGTGGGTCAAGGAAAGAAGTCTACTGTAATCCCAGCACTTTGGGACGCCAAAGTGGAGGATCACTTGAGGCCAGGAGTTTGAGACCGACCTGGGAAACATAGTGAGACTCCAACTCAACAAAAAAGAAAAAATTGTAATGGTGTGCTCCTATAGTCATAGCTACTTGGAAGGCTGAAGCAAGAGGATTGCTTGAGCTTGGGAGTTTGAGGATACAGTGAGCTGTGGTGGCTCCACTGCACTCCCACCTGTAGATCCAGAGTAAGACCCTGTCTCAAAGAAAGAAAAAGAAATCTAAAGATAAAGATATGTGGAAAAACATAGTTTAATATCAAAGAAGACTGGGAAGAAATAGCCAGAGAGTTTGGAGGAAATAGAGTGTCCAAAGAGGACTAGTGAACAGTGTCCGAAACCTCAGGGAGTTATGATCAGACTCAAACACTGCAGTTAATTGGTCTTAGTAAATAAAGGCACTTTCAGCAGAGTGCTGGGATGGAAGCCAAATTGTGGTAGGTTTGAGCATCAGTGAAGTAAAGAATTGAGGCAGTGAATATAGATGTCCTTTTACCAGATGCTTGACTGAAAAATTTTAAAAGAGCAAGATAAACCGGGCTTGGTGGCTCAGCCTATAATTCCGCGCCTTTGGGAGGCTGAGATGAGTGGATTGCCTGAGCCCGCGGGTTCGAGACCCGCCTGGGCAGCAAGACCTCATCTCTACAATAAATCAAAAAATCTGCTGGGCATGGTAACACATGCCTGTAATTCCGGCTATTTGGAAGGCTGAGGAGGAAGGCTCGCCGGAGCCCAGCA